ATATATATATATTTATATTTAGTTAAAAAAAAGTTATAACTAAAATTTTAAAAAAATCGCGAAAAATTTCTACAATCTCAAATTTGAAAATTTTTTACGCAAAAATTTATATTTCAAGGGCCTTTCAAAAAACGAATCAAAACATCTTTCAATCCGTATAGGACTCTTTTACCGTATACGTCTCTTTTGTATAATCGTAAAGGAATAATAGGATGTAAATTCACACCAAGCATTTCTAATATTAGAGCTTTTTAATTCATCGATTGATAGATCACATTATGCGCAAACGTAACTTTGCTCCATAAAAGTAGCATTTGCGCATTATGCGATTAATCAATCGGTGAATTAAAAAACTCGTTTACTTTATATCTTTTAAAAATAAAAAGCAAAATTAAAGTATAACGTGTCTTTCAATGTAAAATTTTCTGGCCAAACGATTGACAATATTGAATTTTCGAAAAAAGTTACCTCTTTCAAAACTGCGTGTTAAATAAAAGATTTTGAAAAGACTGAAAAGATTTTGAAAAAACTACTTTTTCAATATATTTTGCCGGTGCAAATTCGCACCAAGGTGTTCTTCGCCCCGGTTCAAATTTCAAATCTGTGAGTTTAAAACGCAAAAATCTGACTTCTTAAAAAAGCGAGTCTCGACAAAACATGAAAATACAATTAGAAACAAGCTCATGTGAATCATAAGTTCTTTTTCGAACATTGGTGTAATTTACAAAATAACAGGAACATGAAAAAATGATGATCGAAGAAGATTTCAACATCTTATTTGCCACAAAATACATTTTCTTTGCTATATCTCTCTATATAAGAGAATTATTACAAAATTCAGGTCCAAATATTCGCGTTTATGATTGTAAAGAATCTTTCATATCGTTGTTGATATGAACATACAAGTGCTGTTTTCAAATTTCTCTATTCTTGGTACATTTCAGGATAATTTGCACCAAATTAATTTTTTGGATTTAAATCAAGATGACACATCGTTAATTAAAACAACGCTGATGATATGATTAGAAAGATGCAGTATTGGATATCCTCTAACGTGATTCACAAAACAACAGAAGAAATATATATCTCATATGATACAATGTTGCGAAAGATTCTAATACTGTAAATTCTGTAATACTGCAAATTTACTTTATTACATATGACACAAAATTTAGAAGGTGCAAAATATAATGACGACAAAAAAGTTAATGAAAATATTATAAAGCACATATACATTATGAACTGACAATACAAATTATATGATTAATAATAGTAATATAACAATTACAAAGTATAAGATTATTAGAATGTTATTTGAGGAATGTATCTGTATAAAAATAGAGCCTTTTGAATAATCTTTTAAAATTCAAAACTTTCAAAATATAAGATAAAGCAAAAATATAAGATAGAGCATTACATATACATACATACATACATACATACATACATACATACATACATACATATATACATATGTACGTGCATACATACATACATACATGCATACATACATACATACATACTATAATTTTTTTTTTAATGTATCGATTGTGAGAGGAAGATGGGCTATTCGTTTTAGTAAACCTCTCTTAATGAAAATTCCATTGTATTCCTATTAACTTAACTAACAACTTAACAAAATGTATTTATCAAGATTTAATTTATAAATTATTTATATAATTCGTTAATTAAAATTACATATACCCATCATCTTTTGTACACATGTATCCGTGTCACATGTATACCTATACACATGTATATATAAAACTTTTCTCAGGATATTCATACAAATTAGCCATAAACTTTATGATAAATTGATTAAAATTAACTAATTACAAAACCAATAACCATTGTTATCGAAAGAATCGAAAAGAAATTTTTAATATGAAGAAAAAGAATTTTACAATATTAACAATTTTACTTTAATTAATTGTATTCATTAAAAAAAAAAAAATATATATATATATAATTTATCATATATATATTTATATATATATATATATTAATTTATCATATAATATGAATAATATTAATGTAATAATTCTGCGACGGTATAATAATAAGTGACTTCTATGATTGATACAATGAAAAATACTCTCTCGAAATCATTATGCAACTACAAATCTATTTCGTTACAACATAATAATTCGCAAATGCGAATTGTCGCAATTATCACTTTTATATCAAAAATGATTGTGTAAATAAAAAAAAATTTGGAAAATGTTCTGAAAATTCCGCCAGTTTCTCGATCTTTATAGTTTCGAAATCAGCACCATGTATATATAATCTTGTATTTAATAAAACAAATGAAAACTGAAACTAAAAGAAAAAAAGAAAAGATACTACAAAGATACCCTCCTTTAATAACAAATGAGCCAAGTTTTGAGTCATCATTTCGACTCTAACTTTTGTATATATATCTCTCTCTTTCCTTTTTCCCTTTTTCTTTCTTTTCCCATTCATTTATCTCTATTCTATCAACGTGCGTTTTTTTTATATCTTGAAATTGACTTTATGTTCAAGTAACATGTTGTCCTCCGGTGACAATGACAAGCAGGCTCGTAAGATGTTTTCAATGGCGGCCCGTTGTCGAAACAGGGCATTTATCACCGGAGTTCCCTGGGGTACCAATGGAGCTTTGCAAAGATACGACAAAATAGAGAGTATACTATGGAAACCGGAGAATTCTTCATCGGAATCTACTCTCTTGAAGGTGATACGAGAACAGAGCTCAGCTAAAATGACGAGATCGAGAATTATTGGAGTCGCAAGAAGTGAATCTTCACATGTATTATGGATCACAATGGTATTGTGACCACCCAACATGATTTCAGAAATATATTCGTCCATAGCTCTCTTGCTGTCACCTGAAATAGATGTAAATAAAATATAAAAAGAAATTTATTGTAAATAACTTCAAATTTTATATTTCAGAACTTTTACAGATTCATCAATTTTTAAAAATTTCATTTTCAAAATATCATGAATTTTAAAGAACCTTTTAAAAATTTAGAAAATTTCAATCGTTTTAAAAATATTGAGAATCAATTTGAAAAACATTGTGCAAAAAGCTATATAATAAAAACAAACAAATAAATATGTATGTGTTGCTCCAAGATTTCATGTTTAACCCTTTCGCTACCACGGACGACTAAAGTCGCTCGCTGCAAAATGTTCTTCACATATCACGGGTGACTAAAGTCGCTCGACATGAAAAGCAATCGAAAAGATTAAGTAACTGCGAATAACTAATACGTAAAAAAGTAAATAAGTAAATAAGTAAAATGAAAAAGATCCATAAAAATTGGACTAGAGAAAGAAACATGGCTGATAGAATTAAACGGCGATTGGCAGAAAGAGTCATTATAATGCTTAATTAAATATGAAACCAATTAACAAAATAAAAATATCTTGTTTTAAGAATAAAACCATTTCCTATTAAGAAAAATATTATAAAAGCAAAAGTATTATAACGCCTCAAAGAGGCGTTATAGGCAAATCTGAAACGCTAAAGACCGCTTGCGCGTGAATTGTACACTTATAGCATAACGGCTGATTCAATAAAAATGGTCAGGCAGCCAAGTCCGCGGTAGCGAAAAGGTTAAATATGTGTGTACGCACATGCCAATATGCATATATATATATACATGTATATAAAATTTTAAATGAAGGTTTTTAAAAACATCTTTCTTATATTTGGGAACAATAAAAGACAATGTTACGTTAAATATGAATAGCTTACCAACGTAGGGAACATATTTGATGACAACGCAATGATCTGGTTTCTCTTCAGGTTTGTAAAGAATCTTGTTAGACTCGACCATATCATCCACAACATTGCTCTTGGAGATCTGTGTATATTCACATGCATAAAGATATTATATGATATAAGAATTTAAAATATAATATATATTCTAATTCACTTATAAATGGAAATAATGTGATATACAACAAATATAGATATATATGTATATAGAAATATACATAATGTGTGTATGCATACCGGCGCATTTATATTATTGATAGAAATTATTGATAGAAATAAAAATCTAATATAATTAATATATCTAATGTATACACATTGATATATTTTTTTTTATTGTTATGTACCTCTTTTGAGCGGAATTGTTGCGGTGCGGATAGATTGTATCCATCGTTGTTTCCTAAATGGTTATAGCTGACAATAGACACTGGCTTTATACCGGCTGATACGAGAAAATCTACAAGCACGGACTTGAGCTTTGTCTGACCAGACTTGAAATCGTCGCCGCCGATGAATGTTTTTTGTCTTTGAGCTAGTTCAAGGACACCTGGCACAAAAGTGTTTTGCGGCGAACCATTGATGTAAGTACACTAAAAGATTTATTTAAACATATAAAAAGATCTTTGGCCGCGAAGTTGCAGTTCTATATTTATTTAATAATATGTTTCAATGTATACACATCCCGGTCAGTCAAGTCAGTCAATCGAAAACATTCTGCAAAATGTCCGTTACAAATTTTATCAGCAAAAAAATTATTTGATATTCAAGCAAAATACTAGATATGGTCGTTCGAAAATGAAAAAATAACACGAAATAGAGAAATGATTACTAAGAGTCGATGCGATAAAAAAATAGCGCAATTAAAAAAAAAAGGAACAATTATTCAATGAAATAATGAGGGTCAATATGGTATTGATTCTATAATTATCTTATATTGAATTGCGCTATCATACAATTTATCTATTTTTTTGTTTTTGTTTTGAAGATTTATATTGTGACTTGGAGATGAGTTTTTGTACTTTATTTATCGACTCCATATATAATTTTGAAGAAAAAACACTTTATATGATATTTTATTACAGCTTTTCTTGGACACCATCCCCTGTATAATCCATTCAGCTATGCAACTGATTAAGAAAACATAACATTTTTTTAATTAAGATGCGAAAGATCTTGCTTTTGGCCCATAGCATGAATTTTGACATGTTTGAATTGTTTTGTAATTAAAAAATTTATTCTGCTGAAGATGCTTCAAATACGAGTCGAAACATTCGGTAGTGTATAATTTTTATTGTTACTACACTGACCCTTATTATTTCATTAAATCACTGTTTCTCTTCTCTTAAAACGTTGCGCTATTCTTTTGTTGCATTAACTTTCATTCAGTTCTTTCTTTACTTCATATTATTTTGATATTCAAGATTCGATATATTATATGTTGGCAAAATATTAGTAGAAATGTAACAAATGTTTATTAACAAATTATAATAAGAAAATGATGACAAAAATCAAGCAAACTTTGTGACATACTTGCTATCTATCAGTCTATGCTTACTGGCAGTAAGACTCGCGTGTGTAACAAACAAGCTAAACTTACAAACACAATTGACGTTAATTTTTTAGCAGTTTCTAAACAAATTTGCTATCAATCTACTGAAATATCGCAGACAGTTTGCTTACTAGTATTCTGCTTTCATTATGAAGAATAATAAATTCAAAATCACATCTAAATTTGTCTGTCTTCCAAACAATAATTATCATCATTATGCTATTATTAATTATTAGTTTATGTATAAAACTATTCGTTTTATAATCAAGAATTATTAAGTCGGCCGATATCTTGAGCCGATTGTATTTCTTTATCTGAGACACTCTGAAAAATGTGATCTTGATATTTTATAACCGATATCGTATAATCGATGCCTTAAACATGTATCTAATCTTGAAAAGAATCTCTTTTTTCTTATCATAAAAAAAGAAAGAAAAATTATATCTTAAATTTAATCATACTCCTTCTAAAGCTGCTGCCACAGCAAACATGGTGCTAGGACTGATCTCCGAGTGATCTTGCTCAATTGCTTTCAACAGATTGTCAGCCGTATCGTTGACACCTATTATAATTTCCGAGAATCGTTCGGTGTTTGCGGTCCACAGGATAATCACTTGGTCAAGGCGTTTCGTAGTCTTAAACTGCACTATATCCTTGCGAATCAAGTTTAATTGCTCAGCCTTGGTGCCTATGATGATATTATTCGCTCTTTTGCCCTTTGTAAGCAAGTTTCATAAATGTTTTTAATAAAAATTTTTAATTATCTAATAATATCAATTTAATAAATACAATATTTATATGTATATGTATATATGTGTGTGACGCACGCACGCACATACCTGATATATATATATATATTTACTCGTAAAAATACAAGTTACCAAATTTTAACGTAATCGTTTAATATCTTTCAATAATAATAATTTTGCAAAAAAAATCATTGTATTGAGATAAATCAAAACTCAAATTAAAGCTTGAACATTTTGTAACAATCAAAATTAGGTTACAAAATGTTGAGGTGAATGTTTAGGATAAATCTTGAAAAATGAGGGAATTTTTTTTTAACAATTGCATTGCTCAGGAAAATCGGCTGCCTAGTACAAAAATTTAATTTGAGTTTTTAAGCTCATTTATCTCCTAACAAATTAATATTTAAAAAATTGTTTGGCCTTTCTCAATTAAATTATACCGTTTCAAAAAAAAAAATATTACTAAATGGACAAATTTTTCTTATAAAATGCCGAGAGTAGAACATATGCATATGTACGTACACATTCATACAAGATTTAAGTCCTATTCATCTCCATGTGAAGCATCTTAGATAGAAAAATTTGTAGATAATGACAGTGCTCATTTCAAGTAGTGTGACAACTTTTCAAACAGAATACTTTTGATCAATTTTGAGAAAAAATTGAGTAATTTTGAAATGATTTTGTTAGACATTGTAAGACATTGTTAAAAAAGAAAATTAAAGATAAAAACATACTCTTCAAAAATATATGTGGTATGAATACTATTTTAGATTTATTTAAGTTTTGTATGTCTTATTTAAGTTATGCATGTGTTTAAACAAATGTTTATCAAAGACAAATTTTTTTTCATTTTAAAAAGAGCATACATTATCTTATCGCGGAGAAGTAAAATGTTTTAAGATTTATGTTTAGACATTAATTTTCTTTTCAATTTATAGTTTTTAACGACAATCTGTTTCTCATTACTCATATTACAAGAAAAAATTGTCCGTTTCGTAACATTTTTTTTTTTCTTCAAAATAGTCCAACTTAAAAAAAATAAGAAAAATAAAAAAATTAACTATGGATTGTTAAGAAATATAAATTGGAGAGAGTTGGAGAGAGAGAGAGAGAGAGAGAGAGAGAACTTACCCTAATTTTTTACGAAATCTT